AAAGCAGTTGGCCCTCACAAGCTACTTTTCTCTCTGCCTACTCCTTTTGAGATATTCTTCGTATTATCTTTGTCTTTGTCTTTGTTCTGCTTCAAATTAAAATGAAATTAAATTAAAACAAATGAATGAAACTCAAGCATTTGTGAATTTCTCTAAAACAGTGTGTCTGAAAAACAACTATCACTGTGAAGGCTGTGAAAAGTAAAAGTTATCTTATGTTCCCTTAAAGCTGATATTTTGTCAAAGGAAAGATCTGATTGTACATGACTGAACCTGACTCAGCCCAGGCGTGTGTTGACTCAGGTGAAATGTTGCTTACATCATTGTAGAGTGATTCTACTGCTCTGAATATGCTCAAAGTCATCTGCCTCTGTAGTAGTGGAAGATAATGCTCCATGTCATAGGCCACAATCACACACTTCTTATCTGAAACCAAATATTTGACCACAGTTTGTCTGTCTGAGCATGCGGCTTGATAAGAACTTGTATTTGTCAAGCGCTGATAATGCAACATAAAAGGAAGCTGTGTGGACTCAGTCGGTGGTTTATTGCCTGTCCTAACACACAGTTCATCTAATTGTGGTTATTAAAACATTGATCCTCTTTTGTTTCGGGGCCAGTATGAAAAACAATGGGTAATATAGAGTAGCGGTATATGTCTATATTCATGCAGGAATCGTATTATTGTGTTAATAGATGCGTATCGCGCATGCTATCTCTCGCAAACACAGATTACTTCATTAATCGTGAAAAAGGTAAACACTTAGAAAAAGAAAATAATTTAGTTATATTTACATACATGAAAAAGGATGAAACATTGAGTGCATAATCATGAGGAAACGCTAGAAATAAAAAAACAAAAATTATAATTAAATTGAAGGAGGGGGGGCACACAGAGTCCAATTTCCATGATCATACAGAGAAAAACAATACTAACAGTAGATAATAATAAGAATAATAGTAATAATGATAATATGACAATGACATCTTTCTACACACACACTCACACAAGATGATTGCCTGTCCACCTTCCGGCCACCGCCAAGTCTGAGCCTGCCAACACATTGACCCCCAGACATTGTATTTATTTAATTGAGATTTCTTCATGAGATGGTCTTATTATTCTTAACTGAACCCAAGATACTATATTTCCATTTGTCCAACACATGTATTATTCATTGTATAAAAACAGCAGTGTGGCCAAGGCACAATTTCCCTTCAGGTAAAAGGTGTGACATTTTTTTCAATGCATTTTTGAACCCACATCTCTCCCATCCGTTTCTATGCAAACGAATGGCATTTCTCTGTATCGTATTGATTTCCATAGCAATGTACTGCCTTAATAAGTGCGATCTACAGACCCGAACATGAAGAGAATATAAAGTAATAATGGTCTTTGCAGATCGTTTAGTGACGCTACACTGACTGACATGGCGGTGCTAATGGGTCTATATGGAGCTGTGTGAGAGGCATATAGGACCAGACCTGTTTGCCTTCAGGGCGCATTATACATAGAATAAAGGGCACATTAGCCTTAGAATATGGATGGGTGGATGGATACATTGATGGTTAGAATACTGTATATCCAATGTAGTTAGAATACTAACTAAATACTTTAGCATACACTAAAATGTAATACCTGTAGACTTTTTTGCGTGAATTCTGTATCTAGATAATATATATTGTATTTATTTAAAATGTTTTACATTATTTTAGACTTTAAATGTATACATATTATGCAATATTAAACATAAAATAAAATGAGATACAAAATAAACGGAAATAGACCTTTAAAATGAGGTTGGACGAAGTAAACGATTATTTGTCTCCAACCCCTCTCACTCATTCAACACAATGCACTACACTCACACGCACGCACACATACACACTCACACGCACACACACACACACACACACACACACACATACACTCTTTAACATGTACTCCAAAAAGCAACAATATCCGGAAATCGTAAGTATTATTTCCAGGTGTCTAGCGGCCAGAAAGATTGTGCGTCGTGAAAAATTGCTGTGACAAATGTCCAACTTTTGTTAAAATAATAGAATTAAAAAAAAAAAAGTTCACAGGTTTTACAAGAGGATGTATGAAGCCACTGTTATCATTTGTGGTTGAAGTTCGTTAAATAGAGCTAAAGACATTAACAAGACTCTCTCTTATTATTTAAAATCCCTTTATTTTTTCTTAAATGTACTACGCCCGAATGCTTTTCAGCTTCTCTCTTTAGTCATTCACAGAAATATTTAGCTGCCGTCTGTGAGTGTCCCGCCCACCAGGCCTTCCTCGTGCCACCGATGATAACGCTGTGTTTTTGGCAGGATTTCTAGATTCTGCCCCGAGCCTCGCTGCTTAGAGTGGAAACAACATGCCAAAATAAAAAAAAGATTAATACATCTTTTGGAAGGGGGTTCACTGGGAGGCTATTTTGAATTTGAGTTACAAAACTTTATCACTTCAGAAATCCAACACAAACGCACATATATTTGAAGTATTCTTTCCAACGCTCCTAAAACCCAATGAAGTGTACAGCCCCAATCCTGGAGCACTTCACCAATTATGTTTGGATTACGTGTTTTATCAAGTAACTCTTACATGTTTTCCTACAAGGATCACTATATTATGCAGCAGATTATATGGGTCTGTTTTCATTTTCAGTTCAGGATATTGGGAGCGATAATAAATCCGTAATATAAATCCCCAACAGCCTTCACATCACAGTAAAGGTAACGCCTGTGCGGAAATCACACCTTAGTCTAATAATAATCTCTCGGCGCTTCCTGTGGTGACCCCCCCCTCCCGCCTCCAGTCTTTTTAATTACATGTGAGTCCAACCGAGCGCTGCTGTGGGATTGAGATGTTGCTAAAGCGTCAACACTTTCTTCTGTCGGTCCATCGTTCTCATCTTTCCCTCGACCGATCGATTTTTCCCTCTCCTCTGGGGTTTGAGTCCTATTTCATCTGGAAAGGTGAAACTTGAAATAAGCATATAATAATTGTTTTCTTGACTACATTGATACATTACAAAGATGGTTGCATGAATATATAAAATGTATATTCATGATTTTAATTCTTGCATGGTTTAATATCATGAGCTCTTTCTATACAGCCGACCTGCCATCCCACATAGGTTTCCTAAAATGTTTGATTTTCTTTTTGTCTTATTCCTTTCTGCTGTGGTAGTTCTAGTTTTAGTAGTCCTACATCTTATACTGTTTAAAGGTTCCACCATTTGTCTGCTTTACATACAATTTCAGAAATGCATTATTTATATTAAAGTAATAAAACATACAGTATATAGAGTATATACTAATGGGGTGGTTTTCTTTTTTTGTATAAAAGATGTGTTGTTTGCAATAATGGTGGTTCAATTATGAGACACATCATGATTATGATTGTTGCAATAATCAAGCAGTTGTACCTTTGTAATTGAACATGATGGTTTCTGCTCGGCTCTCGTCATGTTCTTTCTCCTCTCTCCTTCTGCGCTGCTCGTGCTCGGTGACTCATCCTCACCATACGGCTTGAGCCCAGTCTGTCCGTGCTCTTACATCTCTGACCGTTTCATTGGCACAGCCTGAAATAGATCAGGATTGGTCTTTCGAGCAGCGTCCGCAGTGTGACCTTGATGTGCATTCATGTAAACTGAGAAAAGATAAAGTAAATGAAAGCCCTTTCTCCATTTGAATTCACTTAAATATCATCCACAGTATAGAAATATGTCTTAACAATTCAAATGCAGTTTGAAAGATTTTCTTTCCGACAGTATATTACGGCTTGTTCATCTGCTGAATTACTAGAATTGATCTGATTATTTCTTACGGGATGCATGATACTTACTCTTTAGGTGCTAAAACAAGACATGTGTCATGTAATCTGAAGGTAATTCACAAAACATTGTATCAGTCACTAGGCTTCTAGATATTATTTATTATCTATCTGAAATAATATAGGGTTACAGGCTACTCATGTATACATTTACCAGTATATAACAACTTTTGGATGCACATGTGAGTGTGGTGGTGTGTAAAAAAAAAAGGTAACAGAAGCCAAAAGATAAAATGCAAACATTTGGGTCCCATTGTGTGAAATAATAATGGGTCATATTCACATATTCTTTGTGGCCTTGCATAAATGAATCACATCCTGTCTTTGTTTGGCTGTTTGCAATAGTCTCACACCATTATGTTTACAGATGAATAATTGTGAATGACTGTGAGGGTGTGCCAGGCTCTTCAGGGAAAGGGAGGCGTGTTTGACTCTGCGATGTGAGGAGCCCTCCTGTCTTCAGCTCCGTTCTGATGACACTTTAATGCAGCTTCAGTCTGACTCTGAAAAGTGGGTCAGCAGGAGGAAGTGGAGGGAACTTGGCTCGGGAGTTGTTGACTTCTCGTTTGCTGGAGATGAGGTTTTATCAGGACAGGGCCAAGACCTGTTGCTATATATTGCATGTATTAAAATACGTAATGCCATTAAGTTAAGGTCCACTGAAAATGCTTTGCAGATGTGACGCTGAGCTTTTAATTTCAGCGTCTTCTCTAATTTAGGTCTTCTCTTCAATGTAGGCTCATTGATCGATTGTATGGATTTGTTTAGCAAATACTGACTGTATTTATCAAGCGGTTGTAATTGTAACTGAAGATGATTTGTTTTACATTTTGAATATGCGGTGGGCTATGATTCACAAGGCAATAGTGTGAATAGTGTCAAGTTGTTTTATAGTTATCTGAATTGAATCATCTCAACAGTGCGTCCTGATTGTGCGGTTTCCAGATGCATTTCACACAGAGACTGCTCTAACGAACAGTGTGCAGCTCTCACAAAGGAATCTGATTATCCAAGTGCTTAATCGACGACCAAAGCCAGCAGCAGAAACAACAGCAATGAGTACCTGCCACTTTGAAATGCCCCATTCAGGTTCAAAGGTGTTATTTTACTATTTAAAGCAATCCACTAATGCACTTTTCCTTTTTTCCCCACTCAGGCTTTGCACTCTCACGCTGAAAAAGCTGGTGGTTTTGAAAGAGCTGGACAAAGAACTCAACTCGTTATCAATAGCGGTCAAAATCCAGGTGAGTGGTTTAAGTATTATTATATTCATGATGGATGGATGGATGGATGGATGCTTTAAGTCGCTGGTCTTATATCATGAATTGGCATTTTTTCCCAAGCTACACCCACAAAATGCAGTTTTATTGTAAAAGTACTGGATTTGGTTGGTTAGATTGCAAAAATAAGTATTAATAGCTTGGAGTAGTTTTGTTTGTCCGATATATGTTCATGTACCCTTAGCAGCAAATGCATGTTCATCAGCATCTGTGGAAGCTCTCCTTCCCACGGGGTGGGTTGGTCTGTCGCTGAAGCTGCTCTCTATATCAGACATCAAACAGTGTCCTGCTGGGGCCGCTGTCATAGTCATGGATGTTAGTTTGTTCAGGACCCTCCTGTCTCCCCTTGCTCCTCTGTGTCCGGGGTACAGCCTAGGATGGAGCTGGACTTCCTGTAGACCTCAAACAGAAAAGTCTGTACAAGATGACTGAGGCCACCACAGAGCCATAGATCTTTTAAATCATTCTTATCAGTGGTACAACAGATCTAAACCTTAGAGAAGAGGGTGTCCAACCCAATTTGTAGCTCAGATGAAAATCTTACTCACTCTTCTGCAAGAGTCCACTCTTGCAGAAGAGTGACGTCTGTGGAAAGCCACCATCTCCTTGGTCTTCCCTGTGTCGTTGAGGAGGTGGTACAGCTTACACCAGTTCTGTGTTAGTTCTCTGTACTCTACGTTGTTGTCCTCAGGGATGAGTCCAATTATGGCAGAGTTATTAGAGAACTTCTGTAGGACAACCCTCAGTGTTGTTTCTGAAGTCTGGAGTGTAGAGGGTGAAGAGGGACAGCGTGAAGCCCAGCAGATAGAACTAAAATCACACCTGCCATTATAATTTACACCTTGCATGTTCTTTAGAACCTGCATTAATGCATTTAACATTTTTTTATGTGATACATTAAGTAACATCCTTCTTCCAACATGGCCTATGGAATAGATAATCTATTGCAAGTATGCAGAAAATTAAATTTCCCCAATGAATCTTTTTGCGTTTTGTGTGTATCACATTTCTAGTCTGCAACTGCCCGATTGTCCTCTATTTGATAGGCGCATGACGCATTGTTGGGACTAGAGGCTGCTGGTTGCCTTGACAATGACAAGTATTCAGCTAATCTCTCCAATTGAGAAAAAGGCTCTAAGCTGCAGCAGAGGAAGCTCTGTGAGTCACACAGGTGCAGTAAATGGCAGACTGGCCTTTAGCACCTTAAGTAGGATTTGTGCTCTCACTTTAATTATTGCTAATGCATGTTTGTCGACTGAACTCTTGTTTTATACATTTTCTCATCTGTAGGTCGTGAGATTATGTAAGTAGGGCACATCTAATGCTTCACCAATGAAACTAGGTCAGATCTACTCCAGACAAGAAATCAGATATTCGAAGCACAATTAGGCTGTAGTCAATGAGGAAAAGCGTTTGATGAGAAAAGATTGAGATTTACATACTCCAAGTTATTCTATTCCACTTTCCGCTTACATTTGTTAATTGAAGGACAAACCAATGGCAATGCAGGAAAATTGATCTTTTAAATCATGCTTCTAATTTATTTTAAAAATTCTCATGAATATGTTTTTGAATGGATAAACACAAAAAAGGAAAGTGACCTTGTGGCATGCAAAGCGTAACAGTTTTTGTGCATTATACATGTTTTCTTTCAATCTTTATTGTGTAGAATCTCATTTACTTTAATAAACAAACATCTCTGTGTAGAAAAACAGAAATATCAAGGGAACCTCACAAATTAAAATCCAATATGAGAAAGTACAATGACTCAACGGAGTAAGGCAATGAATCAACATTCCTCAAATCGGCTGAGGGTAAACATTTGTCAACCACTCCTGCAACTGCGTGTTTAATAGAGGCTATGATGCATGCGTTATACAAACAGCCAGTCTTCATGGATTTTAAAGATTGGAAAATTACAAACCTAATTATCTGTTTGATCATACATGCAAGCCAGTCAAGATGCTATTAAGCCGCAATTTTCGGCTGTATTATGCGCCATTTTATAGATGTTTTCATTTAGTCCTGAGTATCTTTCTACTGAGACAAACAAGCAAATACACCAAGCCTCATTCCAATGCAAGGCTTTGACATAATAATAATATGGGAATGTGTTTGTGCTTAGAATACCAAGCATGTTCCTATGGCATATTAATGAACTGTTTTCCACCAAGACTCTCTATATTGAATTTTAATTGAAGTGTTATGCACAACTGGATGAGTCTATTTCAATACAAACTCGCTCCCTCTCCCTCATGTAAAAGATGCGAGCAGCCATCCAAGTGTAGCGGCGGTATCCATGTTGTTTGTGAAGCGTGAAATCCTGGCGTTACTCTGAGCAGCCGGAGGACAGACACGGCTCTGCTCTGAAGTGGGGCATTAAATGTAATTTTCAGCAGGTTGGATTTAAAGAACGCAGGCTTCTGTAGAGTATAGGGAGGTATGGAGATAGTTATGGCTCGTATAGGAACAGGAATGTTGGTTTTTTTATTATAGAAACGACAGTTGAATGAACACAATTTTGCTTCTGGTAAAGAGAATGGGTTTATTTTAAATAGTTGGGTTGAGGCATGTGTTTGTACTGTGGTTTGAAGCCCTTTTTCATTCCATTAAAGGACACAAGACAGCCTTTTGTTGGAAGTTTTAATTAGCTTCATCCACGCTCAATTGATTAATTCTTTGCAACTTTCTCCTTTAGGGCTGTATCAAGTTAATCAATTAGCTAAATAGTTGTCAACTAATTTAGTTATAGATTCCTAATTTTTTTAACATTACATAAATTTAAACATACTGAGAAGAGGTTTTTGATGTATATTTATTCTCAGATAATGATATAATTACTGCAAGGAGAAATCAAATTGTGTTTGCGACGTATTTTTAATCAAACCCATGCAATAAGTGAAGATGTTCCAATGGCATCACTTGAGCTTTGTTTTGGTCTAAAAGTATAAGTATAATGTATAAAATCCACATTCACTGACCTTTCTGGTAGGGCTGAAAACTAAATCACAATATAAGTAATTCAAATCGGTCGATAACAATATATATTGATTGTTTTTTTTGTAAACCTAAATAAATAAATTTGTTGTGTCGGCTAACACATGTTAGCAGCCCTTGTTTATAGTCACGGGGGAATGAGGCTCGAGGAATATGTTCACAAGCACAGTCTCCCCTATTGTTAGTCCTGGTTTAGCTCCTGTTTTGGCTGTTTTCGAGTGTCTTGTGTCTCCGGAAAAAGGCAAGGCAAGGCAAGGCAAGTTTATTTGTATAGCACAATTCATACACAAGGCAATTCAAAGTGCTGAACAAAACAAGAAAGCATTAAAATCATAAATAATCACAGTACATTAAAAAAAAGATAAAAATATAAAATCCCTCAGTTGTATGCACAGCTAAACAGAACCGTCTTTAACCTGGTTTTAAACATTGTCAGAGAGGAGGCCTGTCTCACATCTTCAGGAAGACTGTTCCAGATTTTAGCAGCATGAATCTGAAAAGCAGCCTCCCCATGTTTAGTTCTGACTCTGGACACTAACAGAAGTCCAGTCCCTGTGCTCCTCAGAGTCCGGGCTGGTTCATATGGGACTAACATGTCACTAATATAGTTTGGTGCGAGGCCATGGAGAGATTTTTACACAAGCAGAGCTGTTTTAAAGTCTATTCTCTGAGCCACAGGAAGCCAGTGCGGAGACCTGAGGACCGGACTAATGTGGTCGTACTTCCTGGTTCTAGTCAGGACTCGAGCTGCTGCATTTTGAATGTACTGCAGCTGTTTTACAGCCTGTTTGGACAGACCTGTGAGCAGGCCATTGCAGTAGTCTAACCTACTGGAGACAAATGCATGGATAAGAATCTCCAAGTCTGCTTTAGACACTATGTTTTTGATCCTGGCAATGTTTTTTAGATGGTAAAAAGCTGCTGATGTTACTGATTTGATGTGGCTATTAAAATTTAAGTCTGAGTCCAGTATTACCCCTAGATTTCTGACCTTGTTTGAAGGTTTTAGGGAAAGAGACTGTAGGTGACAGATGACGCTCTCTCTTTGTTTCTGGGGACCAAAGACAATCATTTCAGTTTTGTCTGCTTTTAGCTGAAGGAAGTTGTTTTGCATCCACTCACTGATCTGTTGGATACAGTGAAGGAGTGAGTCCACTGGTCCATGTTCTCCTGCAGTCAGTGAGACATAGATCTGAGTGTCGTCTGCATAGTTATGATAGGACACTTCGTTTCTGCGTATTAACTGACCTAACGGCAGCATGTAGAGATTGAACAGAAGAGGTCCCAGGATCGACCCCTGTGGGACTCCACAGGTCAGGGCCATATGATCTGAGACACAGTTTCCAATTTCCACAAAGTACTTCCTGTCTTCAAGGTAAGACCTAAACCAACTTAGGGCGGTGCCAGCGACGCCAACCCAGTCCTCTAGTCTCTGTAAGAGGATCTCATGGTCGACGGTGTCAAAGGCAGCACTCAGATCTAACAAGATTAAGATTGAGACTTTGCCTGCGTCAGTGTTCAGCCGGATATCGTTTGTAACCTTGACAAGAGCAGTCTCAGTGCTGTGGTGGGGTCTAAAGCCGGACTGAAACATATCAAATGAGTTGTTGATTATAAGAAATCTAGTAAGCTGTAGGTAGACAACTTTTTGAAGGACTTCCCCCATAAATGGCAGATTTGAGATGGGACGATAGTTGTTAAGTACCGTAGCATTCAGGCTGCTCTTTTTTAGCAGGGGCCTGATGACTGCCGTTTTCAGGGCCTTTGGGAATATTCCAGAATGAAGGGACATGTTTACTATCTGTGTGAGTGAAGGTAACAGACTGCTCAGAACAGACTTCAGAAATCTAGTGGGTAGTACATCCAGGCTGCATGTGGAGGAGCTCAAACTGGAGATTATTTCTTGGACATTTTTATCATCTACAGGTGCAAAATAAGTTAGCTCAGAGAGCCTTTCTGGCTGTTGT